ATATATATATATATATATATTAATATATATATATATATATATTATATATATATACACACACACACACACACATATATATATATATATATATATATATATGATTGTGTTTGAATGCGTACGTGAACATGGGTATATATACAGAAAATAGCGAAGTCCTACATGTACATTTTCGTTCCCGTTGAAGTGTATTTTGCGTCTAGCGGTTTGTGAATACACACGACCGTACGAGCAGTATCGAGTCTGGAAATAGCATGGGTTTTACTAGTCGTGGGCGCCAGACTTTCACCAATAACCACTTCTGGGCATGCATACAAATTAACTCCGGAAGAAAGCACAACTTATTCCGTACTCGGTGTCAACATCATATAAGGCTGAACACAAAAACAAGAACTCACATATATACGCATCCGCTATTATTCCGCAATTACACGCAAATCCACACTAATAAAAATGGACACTACACATTTCGATATTTAAAAATAGACACAGTCGTCCATCAATCGACACTCACTTGCTGTAGCCGTAGCCGTTGTCGAGACAACTCTATCTACATCCACCAGTGCTTTGGGGTTCATAAAAAGCGCAAAAGGATCCATCTTCCCACTGCCAGTTACTACGAGCATCAGTACAAACATTGCAAACAACCAGAGACCAATGCCTGCTACGTACAGAGGCGTAAAACTCCCTGTTTCTGACGCCTTTTCTTTCTGTATGATCTCATCTGTTTTCTTCAATTCGTCTAATTTCTTGAGTTGATCTAACGACAATTGGGGTGTTGACCCCCTGTCTGTGCGGTTCTTTGAAAGCCTTTGAAGGCGTTGAGGTGTATCTGGTTCTGCCATTGTATAGTATTGTATTGGGAGTGTTGTTGATGTCTTTATTTGTGGTGTATATATCAAGAAGTAATAATTTGTACAGTGCAGAATTGATGCGATGTTGTGAACTTACACACGAAACGCTCAATCTATTTACTATTTAGAGAGTAGTGGGCACTACACGGGTCTATTTTTTAAAATAGCACGTCACACAGTCACAGTATGCTGCATTCGTCAATGAGGTGAACTGTGATCTTGTGTGATAAATATCACTCCCCAATGGGCCCTACGTATCTTCCCAAATATTTTTTGGAACCTTTGGGAGTTTTCAGTTTTGTCCCCCTTTTTATAAAAATTTAGTGGAAAATGGATACATATGCTAATTGCTATTGGACAATGGACAACTAGGGAAAAATATGTCGCTGAGCCGCCTGAGCGTCCCGAAATAATAAATATGTTACAGACTATCACTGAGGTCTGAGAGTCTAAAATGAAAATCTGAACTCTTCAGTCTGAACTCTGAGACTCAGATAATTTGAGTCAGCTGGAGTCCTGCCTGGAGGCTGGAGGCTGGAGGTCTGGACCGTCTGGTGCCCTGTGTGGGCACTGGGCTGTGCGCCTGTGCCGTTGTGGCCTGTAGCCTGTGGTAAACAAACTGGGGTAATAGTAAAACTATTTACATGTAAATATCACATGTGATGATATGATGTAGTAAATAGTAAATAGTTAAATACATACATGATCTAGAGAGTAGAGAAGAAATAAAATAACATGCCTGATCGGCCATCAAGATGGCCGTGATACAAATGGGAAATTGTGGATATCAGCCAATACCAGGTCCTCAGCGGGGCTAAAGTATGAGGACTGAGGTCTGAGGACCTGGGGGGGGGGGGGGGGGGGTCGAGCAGGACTAAGGACCTGGGACCTGGGGATTCAGAACCTGGGTTACTCTGAATCAGGATTAGTTCTGTTGCTGGGGTGAGACCGGGGGGCGGTGAGTCCACAGAATGACTGTATGTAGACCTATGAATTTTTAAAATAGACTAAAACTGCAGTCTCTCTCTCTCTACTGTACACTGCAGAGGCGCTTCTCGGACAATCAAATTGTGGTCCTGAGTCCTGAATCCTGAAACTTCAGGGCTCAGAGACTCAGACTCTCAGTCTCAGGGGCTCAGCCGCTCAGTTGGTCTCCGGACTGTTTCCGAAGTCCGGGTCAACGCCCCAACAGCGGAGTCGACCGGACCAGGGACCAGGAGTCCCGACTCCCGAGTCCGTCATTTTTAATTTTTTGTTTTAGAAAACTAAAACAAAACTAAAGAAAATCGTATGTACATTGCACAATGAAAATGTACTATATAATTTATATTTTTATATAAAAATACATGAAATACATAATACATACATAATTGCTTTTATGTTTTTAAAACGCTCAAATTTATCAGCAAATTTAACCAATTGACGTGAGTCAATTTATTATTAAAATTGAATTACTCAATAGAGCATGGACTCAAGAGAGTAAAAATATTGAAGTTTGAGTTTTAAACTTTGAAGTTTGAACTACATTGTTGACGTTCACAAAACTTCTCTAAAAATTGCTCATCAGGCAGGAAGACAAATATTTATCTGGATTTTGAACATCCATCAAAGAATTCTGTGAAAATATGTTAATTTTGAAGGCTACGTATAAAGGCTATAAAACATGCATACACCATAGCCATCCTGTGTACTTTTCAGAAGGTTATGCATACACAGTGAATATCTTTGAATGTTTCTCTCAGTATAGTATAGTTGCGGAATCTAACGAATCCTTGCAAACGGGCACTATTTTAGTAGCTCAGACCCAATCTATTATCGACTTATGTACATAAAGAAACAAACGATGACTGAACTCCTGTGGAGCTTATTCAAGTGTATATCCACGCGAGTACTGGGCCCTTTTTTGGTGTGCGCTTTCGCGGTGTTGGCTGTAATCTTGATATACACGTACGCCGCATTCCTATTTGGATATGTGTGCGGTGAGAACGTATTCCTACAGATAATCAACATTCTGATGGCAGTCTGGGTGGTTCCAAATATTCTGTACAATTATTATAAAACGGTCAGGACGTCGCCAGGAACAACAGCAATTGTAAGTTTATTTTTCCGAAGATTTAACATTTAATATTTTGAAGTCGTTGACAGATAAATCGAAACGATTATCACTATTTAAAAAATTTCAAGAATTTCCTTTATACCAGTTGCGTCGACTTGTGGCCGATTCCATGAGTGTATACACGCAAGACAGACACACACACACACACACACACACACACACACACACACATATATATATATATATATATATATATATATATATATATATATAGTTATATTATATATATATATATATACATTTACATACACATATATATACACACACACACACACATGTATATATATATATATATATATATATATATGTATATGTATATATATATATATATATATATACGTACAAACATACACAGATATACACATTTTTACACACACACACACACACACACATATATATATATATATATATATATATATATATGTATATGTATATGTATATGTATATGTATATGTATATGTATATGTATATGTAATGTATATATATATATATATATATATATATATTATATGATATATGATATAGATATAGATATAGATATATATATATATATATATATATATATATATATAT